ATTCGAAGAAGAGAGGCAGACGTACGCGCGTTCCGCCCTCGTCTTGGAATCTCACCTAGACACAGAAGAGATTAGAGACCCCTGGCATCGTTAGGATAAAAATGGGGAAGGGGGATCTCGGGTGCCAGGACCCCCCACGGTGAGCAGGATTGCCCCCAGCAGGGCGCTAAACATCTCCGACTCTCGGCTTTTAAAACAAAACGCAACCACGTCGCCGCCGGAACCTAGTCGTTTCGTGCTTAATCGTGCCGCATTAATTACACGAACGCCGGGTATGTTCGTTTCTTCTGCTTCTCCGCTTCAATCTTTTCCTCTTTCTCTCTTTGGCCGACAAACAAGATTCTCCCGCGCCTTCGACATGCCATGTATAGATACTTCCTCGAGCGAATCGCGTTCTTCGAACTTCTTCAAACTTAGTGACTGTAATTGAAAACTTGATATAAAAAAATTTAATGCTAAAAATAGAAGTCTCAAGACACTTTTGTATATATTTAATATTTTATGCGTATTTTAAATTATCGTCAGTTTATTCCGTTGTTCAATATTTTATTTTTATACATTATAATATTTTATCTTTATTATTTTTATTTGTAAAATAGAAGAATCGAAATGATAACGAAAACCAGAAACAATTTTTATTAATTATTTAATGCATAATTATTGAAAGCTTCATTTTTAATAATTCTATTTTTGAATAATTCCAATGAATATACGCACATATAATTTCAATCTGAATGTTTATATAAAATTATTGTTCAAGATTAATTTTATTAATCGAAATAATTTTAGGACAAAAACTGATTTTATTTTGAATTATATATTAAATATTGTGATAAATAAACACGTTGTGTGGGAATCAATGAACATGAATATGAAACGAACATATATATTTATTTTAACCGAAATAAATGGTCTGGCAATCTTTCTCGTGCTGGCGGAGAGAAAAGGGTCTTAGGTAAAAAAATTCCAAACTCGCGGATAAAAACGTACACGTCAAGCGGACTTATTCCATTCGTTTGTCGATTGCCGAACTTGCTGTGAAATCGATTCGAGGAAACGCAATGTCTCGCGTGTGTATTTCTCAAAAGACAGATGTCGAACCAAAGATAAAGGTGATATTTTTATATATATTCGTAATTCCAGTTTTATTTGCGCAAGAATTTCCTTGCGTAGCAGAAGTTCGCGACTTGTCGATTATCTCGTCACACTCGGGGAGATCGTAAAAATAATTAATCGCCGACGCTGCAACAACCGATAATCACTTTGCCTAATAGCAATCTGTTATTCATGCGAGCGACAGGTTTCATCGGCAAACGGGTCTGCGAGACGGAACGTTCATTATTCATCGAGCCGTGCAAAAAACTCGTACACTCGATTAATAGTCAAATCAAGAGCTGGGAATTTGTTTGCTCGAGAATTAGTGTTTTTTTTAAATGGACGCGTCGCACGCAGATATATTTTCACATATAAACGTTTTAATTTTTAATCGAAATAAAATATTTTTCAATTTTTAATTTTGTAAAGCGATCAAAATATAACGAGTATTTTTCGCTTTCGATATTAGCATTGTTTAAGATTCGAATTAACATAAAATATCGAAGCACGCACATTCGTCTATGAACTTTTCCTCAATATGCAATATGCAAAGCAATCAATGTTTCTATTTATAGTATATTTATCGCATAAATGCGATTAAGTCTGCGGTGATCCACGATCATCCGGGGTCGGGCGCTTTTCTTAATCTAATTTAGTCTTTTACATAATTAATGTGCATGTGGGATGTTACGCGCAGTATTTTAGTTTTTAATTTTACTTGTTACTTATTATATGAAAATTTTATTCAATGTTATATCGTTTAGCGTTAAATGCGCGCCGCTATCTTCAACGTCTCTGCGTAAAGAAGGCATCCTATCCTCAAACGAGATATGCCGCGTATTTCATGAATTATTAATGATCGCCAATGATAGGTCATGTATCCTAATTTTTGCGCGTTTGATGCGCATGGGCAAGACACTCAACGTCGAAAAAAATCGCACCTCATCCACGTCGATTTATTTGTCATGCATATTAATGACAGCTGATGGACAAGCGGCGACTGAATAGCCCGACAATCTAATTTTCGCGCGTTAGAATGAGCGAATAGTAATTTGTGGCGTTCACTTAAGTCGCTTTTTATACCACTTATAAACTTATATAAGCTTATTTCATTAAACTTATCACTAATTATTTTTTATAACGGAATCTAATCATAGTTTTAATTATTTAATTAATTAGAAATTGAAATATAATCAGATTTTTTCTTTTTTAGTGAATTTTAAGCTGAGTTAATTTTAACAAACGTAAAAAATTCACTAATAAATTAAAGTAAAATAATAAAATATTTAATATTGAAAATTGAAGATTTCTCCCGCGTGCAATATATAGTATATATATCGTATATATATTTAGCTTCGTGTTCTTTGAGTGACAGTTCCACGCTAAAGAGTTAAAGACACCGCGAATATAAGTGCGCCTAATTCCCTGAAATGTTTTCGTAAACCAACACGCATAATCTCGCTCCGTTATGGCCCTGAAAGCAATTGACACCTATCGCGATTGAAAAGGGACGCGTATACCTATAGCTTCGCGCAACCGCAGCGAGAAGAACGACGCAAGGTCTCTTCTCCATACAGGTTCAGGGATTCCTGAAAATTATTAACGCCATAGCGAGAAATTACGGCAGGCGTGTCATTCCTCTGGGTGTAACAGTGGTTCTCATCGCGTGCGCGTTGTCGCTAATAATTTCCCGGCCATCGGTGATGAATCGCCGTTCGCGAATGGTTGACGGATTTGCAAGTATAATGAAAAGTATCGGGTTAACGTTAAAGCTGTCGTACTCTCACGGCGCGAGGAAAATAATAAGAATATCGTGTAGAGACGCGCGAGTGTGCGTGCCCCCCGAGTCAACAAGGGATGAAGAGTTTTGTAGGACGAGCGAGAGGAAAATACGCGCGCGGGCCGATTGAGAAAAAAGAAAAAGAGTCAGTAAGTAAGTACCGGGAATAAATTAAACTAATTGAGCAAATTAGCCAGCTGTTCACGCAACTATGGCGTACAGACACGCTCTTCTCGGCCAGTAAGAAGCCATCGTCGTCACGCAGAAGACGTGTACTCGCGCGTTCCTTCGAATAAACGAGAATAACACAGATCGAACACGTGGAAAATAAAAATTGAGCGCGTAAAAATGAGCGAAATAGATATTATCATTAATGAGCTCCTAATTTTTTTTGCACATAATATAGGTACTTCCTTCCAAGTAGATTTTCACGATTCGGTTAAAAATATTATTTACATAACTAGCATTACATGATTCTTTTATTAATAGAACAGAACATACAAGAAATACATGCACGCTGGATTTAAAAATGTATTACGGATTGTTTACGTAATTTTTTTATAGCTTTTCAGTTCTTGTATGGTCATGATTGTATGCGCACAAAAGACGAAACACTGCGATAAATGCTTTCATCATTAAACGATAATAAAAATGGGTGGGAACTGAAGATTAATCTAATGATTGTTATTCAAATATTTAAATATATTCGAATCTTATAATTGCTGTTTGAAGTCATGAGTGTAAACATTATCACAATTTAATTGTGGATGTGTGATACACACATATTTGTAATATTAATGAATTAAAAATGTTTAATGATCGATTTACGATACTATTCAAATGCGATAGTGCAAGAAAACGCATTAAGTGCAAGAAAACAATTTCCTGTGTTCATTACCGATAACGAGATCTGTATAGTATTATCAATCGTAATGTATTTTCACATAAAAATATGTACTACTCTGTTGCTAGCCTCCTTTTTTACAAGTCAAGTAAACTATTAATATTAATAATGAATAAGTGTATTTAACAGTTCGATAATTACTGACGTCAATACTTGGAATTATAGCGTCAATGATAACAGCGACAGCAGAAATCAATTATGTTTAATCATATTCTTGTGCCATAAATAGTTATCCGTTTATGTATGCACAATTATTTTTTTATCATTCTGTAAATATTCTAATAATGATAGATAAATGTCTTTAATGTATCGATAGGTTTTTCAGCAACAATATAAGTAATAATAATTTGAACGTTCTAATGTGAATAATTGTCTCCGATAATTTTTAGCGCTAAATGGGTACTTTGAAAAAGATTGAAAACTGAATAATTAAAAGACTCATGGTCGACGACTTTTATATTGCACGAAGGGTATCGCGTTTCGCCATACGGGTAGGTAGGTAAATTACACACAGTTGGGGATACGTGACCGCGCGGAGAACTTAAGTAATTCTTGAGTAATTCTTCGCGCGCGTTCGCGGGGCTTCGAAACTATTATCTAAACGAAATGTCAGAGGATACGAGATAATTGTCGTTACGCAAGAGATGCGCGATCGCGCATTATTTTCACCTTCGCGCCAAAGAAAACGCCTCTAACCATATTATTACTACAAATTATTACCTCATTTTTCCAACCGACAAAGTTTGACGCACGTAGTTGCTTATTATTAAAATAATTTTTAAGTTACATCACAATATGCCACACAATACCTATACTAAGGTATGACTAATTAATTTTAGTTTGTTTATATTATCTACTTTTAAGAGAAACATCAGTTTTTATTTATCCATTTTTTTTAATATCCCTTAAGGAAGATTTCAATTTTTTTTTAACTTTGAACAATCTTTTAAGTAATCTATTTTAACTTTTATATTCAATTATTTTTAGTTTTTTATTTATAAGATTCTATGAAATAGTTTTCTCTATACTTAATATTTTCTTATGCTTGAATAATAAACTGCAAAAATAATTGAAGATCACAAAGTACTCATAAGTATATTAGAGATCTAATATAATAGAACTGATGGGCGTTTAATCGCATCAGAAATGTAAAGTGTGTTTTATCTATGCTGTTACTTATACTATTCTATTTTACGCAAAACGAAATAAGATACTACTGACCTGTATCCGTGCCTCCGTCAGGCCGATCTTCATGGCGAGCTCCTCCCTAAAAATAAATAGGAAGGCAATCATTAACACAAGAAAAAGATATCAAGGCTGCTTCTAGCCGCGGGCTTATTTGTACGTGCGAGCTATTTGATTCTGTTATTGTGATAAACGCGAGTTAAGAAAATCGAATTTTTAATCAACTCAAGTATTCTTATTATTCCATATTCCTGAATAATAGTAAATTATAAAATTGCCATTTTTTATGATTTTCTGATAATCAATAAATAATTATACATATATTATATTTTTAACGACTTTATAATTTTGAGTCTTATTGATTATAATTATTAATATAATTTTTTAAAAACTATATAATATCATTCCTATATAATCAGAATTTTATATGTAAGTTTACTGTGATTATGATATAATTCTTCCAATTTTTTATTGGTTTAGTTTAATTGTATCTAATTTTATTTTATTTCAATTCAATCCTATTTTATATATTTTTTCTACTATTGAATATTTATTTTAAATATTACATATCTGCTCTTAAAAGACTGAATATAATATTGAAATGAGCACATTCTTTTCTTTTTTCTCTTTTATTTTACGTAATCAAATGTATATCTAAATTTTTGATCAGGAATAATAGAATAACTATATAATTATTGTCTCTCCTGAGTATGCATACACTGAGTATTTATTATTTAAAATGCAATGTAATTCAGCATGAAAAAAAAATAGTTTGCTTGTCTTTTTAATAGCGTTGGGGAATAGCGGTTACCGTCTGACCTCGTATCATATCCGTGAGAAAATCGCAGAAACCGTTCTGCGAAATAGTCGGTCTGTCTCGTAAACACGCGCGCGTTCATTATCTTAATTAGTTTTGCATTCGAAGACAGATTAACCGCATATAACGACGCACGATGGGAATTAATTGCATTATGGATCTCGCGGTATTATGTGTGATTTTCCGTCCGATTGCTACCTGCACGAGCCGTCGTGACGAGAGCTATTAATATCTATTACGAGAGACGATCAGAAATCCGTGGTTGCTGCGTCAGATAGAATTCTCATTTTATGTAGGTGACTGTTGTCCCTTTTTCCCTCCTCTTTCAAACAGACGGGTATTACGAATACGATTATCCGTGACTAATTGACCGGACTCGCGCAGCAGTAATGGCAAATAATTATTAGCTCGTGATATTTTACATAACGTTGATCTTGTCATAGGCGATGCCGATCGTTTTCTTTCCACTTGATCGAGTTTCGCATCCTTCGCTCGCGGGCGCATATTACACGATGTCTGCACGTACTACAAGACATTTTTCCGTAGAAATATATGTTTTGCCTCATTTAGAATGCTCTCTTTATCGTCATTTAGAAATCTGAAGCGTACACGCAGATATTGGATTAGGAAACTACTGATTAAGAAAGATAAGGAACGCGTTTTCAAGTGTTGAGGAATTAATTTATAAGCGCAAACCTCTAATTTGAACTCATAATCATTCAAATTAAATTACTTATTGAATACATAAATATGCATTACTAATTAAAATGTGTCGCACGTTACGGAAGTATATACCAAAAGAATATTATAATCATAATTTTCGTAAGAATATAAAATTATAGAGATAGCATTATGACTATTTTTAAGAAAAAGAAAGAAAAAGAAAATAGATAATCGTCGAACTTTAATATCACTGAATTTCTTTCGGTCGATTTATCTAGACTAATCGATTGCTCGCAGGATATTTTCAGTAAAAATAATTATCCATGCAAGTCGCTATTCGTGCGATTTCACCGGAAATTATGCGAACGCATTTCTAATTTTTTTTCTCTGCAGAACGAAGTAAACTCGAAGCGCGAAGAAGTTATTACAAGGCGAAACGCAGAATCCGAATCGTATACGTATAGCGGGTTTCGATAATTTATTTCGCGCGGCGAGGATTCATTCATTCCGGAAATATTCCGGATTTTCGCTGTTGTTGCATTAAAAAGGGATCGGGCGCGGCGATCATGCAATCGACGAGTATATCCGGCGGCGAGTATAGAGAAAGACGGAGAGAAAAAAAGGGAAGAGAGCGAATCGGGCAGTGAGACACCCTGCCGGGCGTCTCTCATCTCGCAGGCAAATTGCCCAGATGTTCCACGAAATCGCGAAGAAATCTCGGTGATTATGCCGCGCACAGAAGCTCCCGCGTACGATCGCCCGAATCTCTCGTGTTTAGGAGTGCATTTCAGACGGTAGCTTCCGAAATTACAGGGATTTCGGCGTAAGTTCGCAGTCCACAAATTCGCTCGCTCATCTTCCGCCGATTTTATTATCGTTCGCTCACCTGACTTCGTTTCACATCCCGTCTAAAATAATTCTTCCGATCGGACCGGCATTTATTTTATACCGGTATGCTTCAATTTTAAAGCTGTATTATTTCACAATTATTAATCACGAAAAAATAATAGTATAATATATGTGAACTGTATGAATATTTTGTATATATATATATATATATATATATATATATATACAGTACTCCCTCCATAAGTTTGGAAACATCTTACATTTTACAATTAAACAATCGCTTGGTAGCGATCTGTTCAAATTTTTCGTTTTAATATATCGTAAGATATTTAGATGGCGATATAAAAATGTCATTTAAATATCTTACGATATATTCTTACAAAAAATCTGAACAGATCGCTGCCATGTGATTGTTTAAAACTGTAAAAAGTAAGGTGTTTCCAAACTTGTGGAGAGTACTGTACATATCATGCAGTACCTAATTATAATATAAAATAATTTTATATATACTTTATATATAAATATTTTATATATAATATATAAATTAATTTTGTATATACATATAAAAATTGTAATTTGACATTCGATTCGTCAAAGTCCTTCATTTATCGAAAATTTCCGGACGAGTCCGAGTATTAAGAAAATATAATGGAGCGATGTTTAGCCATTGATTAATCGTCCAAAATGATTTTCATCGTGTATCGGCCGGTAATTGCAAAGCGTATTCACATCGTCAAATCATTTTGACGGCCCATACTCGGGCTTATTGGAGGAAACGTAACTAGAAGACGCGCGTTCGTATATAGCCACGGTACTCTCTGATTACCCGTTGTCGTGCGCTAATGACTACTCTGGCGAACATAGTTGCAGACGGTAATTCGTACCTGCTACCAGGCGGCTCGGCTTCGTTTTCAATGAAACGCCGAGTATGAAAGCGCGCACCTATCAGCTTCTTCTCACGAAAAACAGACTCGCGCGCCGCGTATATATACGATCAAATTACGTATATACGTGGTTTCTCCTGCCCCATGTCTCGTCTACATATGACTCACGAATGAAATATACGAATGAATACCGTTGGACGGGTCGGTAGTTACCTACCCCGGTCGAAATAAATGTTCGGACGTTATACACTAAACTCTTCCGCCTACGACTATTTTAAAGATAACATTAAATTTTAACGTATATGTTTTCCCTCGAGAATCATATAAAAAAACTACTACAAAAAAAGCAGTCGGAGATTTTATATTATAGACGTGCTTTTATATCCAAAGTTCTCTATTGTGTCGCTCCTAGGATGGGGAATGACTCGTACCGCTGTTCCGTTCAGCGACTCAAGTGTTTTATTTATCTCGTAATCTTTGCGTAACTTTTCTGATCATTCGAGCACGATATAATCTTTATTAGATATGTGCATTACACGCATGGGTTGCGCAAACACGAACGAAACGCATACCATCGAAGAGGCGGACGAGGCTCAGGCACCTTGGGGGCCTACAAGTAATAATAATTTAGCCTTTCCCTTTTTCTCTCTCCAGGCGCGTTCTCGCCGGCGTCCTTCTGGATTTAATAAGATCACGAAATTTCGCGGTTAGACGGACGTCCCTAATTACACCCGCCGTTCACCGAGACTCTCGGTTACCCTCGATTCGCGTATCGTTATTATATGTCTCTCTCCTCTAACTCTCTCGTCCACAATGTGTCCTTGCCATGGGAAATGCACGGGCTTCGGAAAAATTGCGAGCTGCTTCTATATATGCAAAGATTAGTCGTGTATATATTCGCGACTTAATGAGAAATACGAGACCGCGATGAAAACTTTGCGCAATTTCGCTTCAAAGATCAATTCGCTTGAAATATTCTAATTGTATAGAGACTCTTTTAGAATTCAATCAGAAATATCTTTATTATTCATCTAGAAATTTTATCAACGCAAATTTTATTCGAAATTAAATGAAGCGTATGAGACATTTTATGTTACGTTTTTACTTTTCAATTTATTAAAATTCGAAGTTCAAAAATATGTACAAAGTCTAAAATATATAATATATTGTACTATTATGAAAGAGGGCAAGAAAGAATTATTATAAATATTTACATAAAAAATTAATATGTCTGTATAAAGAAAATGTATGTACAATATTACATACAATGCTACTAAAAAAATCTTTGAATTTAAAAAACATATTCTCTCTCATTTCGTATTATGGAATACTCAACAGCAATTAACACGCGCGTTACGTTCACACGCGTTGCAAAATAAAACATGACTAATTGTCGATTAATTGCATCAACATGATAATTACAGCTCTCTTTAGAATCCGGTTCCGCGGTTTATTATGCGAGTTAAATTTTGCGCGAAGTTTTACCAGAGATTTGGCGAATAAATTATTTCGCGCGAATAATTCGCGATAAAAGAAACCATTCTTGGAATCTATTGCGACTGTTGAAAGGAAGTCCTTCCTGCTCTGTCCTGTGCAACGTTGCAAAGCTATAGCAATCGGATTGCGAGGCGCGAATGGATTTGCCATTTCGCAACCGCACAGTAGTATAACGCGAAACCCACGGCCAGCATCAAAAGAGGCCGCTAAGTGGATTAAAGCCGAGTTTCTTCGTCATCTTCTTCGTCTAGAGCTCTCTATCTCTCTCGGTCTACCTGCCTCTTCCTTTGCTACTCCTGCCACGGTATCCTGCCGTTCTTATTTGTTCCTGCCTCGGCACGGAGTCCTTCGCTGCAACCGCGCTTCGTCAGA